GCTAGCTAGCTAGCTAGGCAGTTGGCTAGCTACCTAGTTGGGAGAGGCCTCACTGTGCATCTTTGTATTTCTGGCAGCCAACGCCATATGGTGTCCCAAGTGCCCAGGGAGCTGATGATTGTCGACTGGCCCTCAGGCTTTATGGTCAAGAACTCATGCTGTAAGCAAACCCAAACCCTAAACCCTAAACCCTAAACCCTCAACGATACAGCACAAAGCCTTAAAAATCCGCAGGAAGACGCACACACGCCGGAACACGGGGCCCTCGATAGGCAGAAACTTTGGACGAGCCCCTAGTTCTTAAACCCTAAACTCTAGACCCTAAACCCTAAAGGGCAAAAGCTCACAATTTTTGTCGACATGAGGTAAGGGCTCTGCAATCCGGTGGACGCTTCTCTGAATTCACAAACACGATTACCCTAAACTCTAAACCCTAATTCTTGAATTTGAAGCCTCTCTCGGCCAAAATGGACCTAGGGTTTAGGGTTTAGGGTTCCGGGATTGGGGTTTAGGGTTTAGGCCTTGGGAAAACTGCCGACCCAAGGACCCTCCAGATGTGCGTCTTGAGATTTCGGGCCGTCTGCAGATCGCATAAAACCCCAAACCCTAAACCCTTCCCCTAAACCCTAAACCCTGATTTTGAAGTGCTTATGCTGCAGAGCTAATAAGCCTGAACGGAGGCTGCGCTTGATCTTGTCTACCCAGAAAAGTTCAAGACGAGAACCAGGGTTTAGGGTTTAACGGCCAGGATTCGCGGAAAACAGCTGGAAGTAGGGTTTAGGGTTTAGGGTTTAGCACTTACGGTGGACAACACGTTAATGCTCAGCCGCGGGTCAGTACTACAGCGGTACAAAACCTTCTCGGCCGCCTCAATGGTATCGCATGCCATCAGATCCGGCTGCAGACCACACCGTAAAGCCTAAACCCTCAGCCCTAAACCCTAAACCCTAAACCCTAAACCGCAGGACCTAAACCCTCAGGGCCATGAGCGCTAATCCGAGCCTGCAAAGCACTGCAGCGCCTTTAAAGCCAAGCAGCCCCGCCCTTGCGCGCTTGCCCGCCCTGGACCCTAAACCCTAACGCCAAACCCTAAACCCTAAACCCTAAACCCTAAACCCTCGCTTGCCTCGAGCATCTGGACGAGGGCGAGTGAAAACCTGAAGAGAGCCATGCTGCCCTCGAACAGAAGAGCCCCCATGATCCTCAAGACGAAGTCGAAAGGCAGCAAACGGGCAAAGGCGTCTTGCAGCCCCCGAGCTGTCCAGGCCGGAAGGTCCACCCCCAAGTGGCGCATGTGCAGGAAAAGACGCGGGAACTTGAAACGAATCGAAGCCACCACAGAGGTCACCAGCCTGCCCGCCAGCAGCAGCAGCAGCAGCAGCAGTGGAGGCAGCAGCAGCAGCGGCGGCGGCACAAACGCGGTCGCAGCAGCAGTAGTGGCGGCAGCACCAGCAGCAAACACGGCTGCCGCAGCAGCAGTCGCAGTGGCGACAGCAGCAACAGCAGCAGCGGAGAAGGCAGCAAACGCGGCGCAGCAGCAGCAGCAGCAGCAGCAGCATTCCACGAGCAGCAGGCAACTCCCCGTGGTGCTGGCCTGGTGCGAAAAAGCCCTAAACCCTAAACCCTAAATCTTATATGAGACAGGCTGGGCATACCAAATGAAGTCTTTGCGCTTTATCACCACGTAGTCCAGCTTGTGCATAACTGAAAGACAAACAAAAACACGCAAACCCTAAACCCTAAACCCTTAACCCTAAACCCAAAGCAAACCAGGAACACCCAAGTAACCAGCCAAGCAACGCACTTAAAAACATACAAATAGCATACTAAACATATCCTAAGCCCGCCAATGAAGACTTATTAACACAGCAGCCCCCGCGGCCCATATTACCGACCCTGGGGGCCCCTGAGGGCCCCTAAGGGGCCCTGAGGGGCCCCCAGCAGCGCTCAAGGGGCCCCTTGCCGCGCCACAGCCTCAATCAACAGTCTAAGAACCCTCTAGGGGCCCCCGCGGCCCCTACGGGCTTCTTCTTTCTGTTGAGGGGCCCCTGGGGGCCCCTAGGGGCCCCTGGGAGCGCCAGGCTACGGCCCCAAACTACTCCCAAGATCCCAAAAGCCCGCAAGATTTGCCCCTGGGGCCCCCAAAGCATCTTTAAAGTGCCCCCAGAAGCCCTACAGAGGCCCTGAGGGCCCATGTGGCTATGGGCCCCCGTGGGGCCTCCCTGAGGCCACCTTGGGGCCCCTTGAGGCCCCCTTGGGGCCCCTTGAGGACCCCTTGGGGCCCCTTGAGGCCCCCTTGGGCCCCCTTGAGGCTCCCTTGGGGCCCCCTGAGGCTATTTAGGTTGCAGGGGGCCCCCCGGGGCCCCTTTTAAAGTAGAACTGGTGAACTCACGCCTGGAGTGGTGTTGGTGCTTTCTGGTAGTCTCTTGAGCATGTTTGACGAGAGAGTACAAGACGGAAAAGGCCGCTGGCTCGCTCATGTAGAGCAGCAGAATGCAGGCAAGGTGGGGGATGATCTGCGGCGCAGCCGTCGGGCTAGCCAAACCCTAAACCCTAAACCCTAAACCCTAAACCCTAAATCCTGGGTGTTTCGCCCCCACGCCTGCTGCACCCGAACCCAGGCTCCTAAGCGCTGCTACTCCCGCCGCCCTGCGCTTTAAACCCTACGCCCAACGCCCCAAAGCCTAATCCCCAAACCCTAAACCCTAAGCCCAAACCCTAAACCCTAAACCCTCAACCCACAGGACAGAACTCAAGTCCCCTCCTGAAGAAAGCAAAAAGGCCCCACAAAAGCCGCCGAGCCGCCGCCTGGCCGCTAGGGTTTAAAAGGCGGCTGAAGTCTGTTACGTCTTCGAGGAAGTAGACGGTGGTCCTAAACCCCAGGCACGCAAACCCTAAACCCTAAACCCTAAACCCTAAACCCTAAACCCTAAACCCTAAACCCCAGACCTGAACCCTACACCCTGAGCCCTGCGTCCCAAACCCTAAACGCTAGGCGCTGAAGCCTGTGCACTACACCCTGGCCCTAAACCTTGAATCCCAAACCCTAATCCCTAGACCCAAAACCCTGAGTCCTAAGTCCTGAACCCTAAACCCTAAACCCTTGATGCTGAATTCTGGGGAGAAAGTACCCGGCTCCCTTTTCGATTTGTTCTTCCCAGCTCTTTGATTTGTGAGAGGAATCGTTTTGGGGCGACTTTTGCTGCAGTTCCTGCTGCTGCTGCCGCTGCTGCTGCCGCTGCTGCTGCTGCCGCTGCTGCTGGTTGTGCTCGTAGTAGTCAACGGAGTTCGGGGGCAGCGGCGGCAGCAGCAGCACGGAGGCTTTGGCTTGAGGGTCTGGCATGGTGGCGCTCATGTAGCGGAGGGGAGGGTCCTGCTGCTGCTGCGCTGCTGCTGCTGCTGCTGCTGCTGCTGCCGCTGCTTGCAGGGGAGGGGTTGGGGCCTGGGCCAGGCGGACAGTCTGGAGCTGCTCGTCGAGCTCCTGCTGCTGCTGCAGCTGCTGCTGCTGCTGCTGCTGCCGCTGCTCCCTGGTCCACTGGCTTTCGGGCAGCAGCGTTTCATCTGCCTCGTCCTCAGGCAGCACATGCAGGCTGCTGCCCCGAAGGGGCGGGAAGTCTGCTGCTGCTGCTGCTGCTGCTGCAGTGGCGGCTCCCTTGGCAGCAAGAATGAGGTCGTCGCTGAGGGTGCTGCTGCTGCTGCGCCTGCGCAGGTCGCGGACAGCAGCACTGGCAGCAGCAGCAGCAAGGCGGTTCGTCTCAAAAGGGTCCTCTCCAGCCCTCATTGCATTACTCAAAAACCCCAACCTTTGGGACTCTGCTGCTTCTTCTTTCCTTCCTTTCAGACTCATGCAAAGGCCCACTCCCGGCAAAATGCGGGACAGCAAGCTGCGCCGTCGCTGCGAAGTGGGGGGGGTGGGGGGCCCCCCGAGGGCCTCCACGAGGTACACGGGGGGCCCCTCAGTCTCCAGCTCCCCCCCGGGGGGCCCCCCGGGGGGCCCCCCGGGGGGCCCCCTGCTCGGCAGCGTCCCCAGCCACGTGTCGCTGCTGCTGCGCGCAGCTTGCTGCAGCCAGTTCACCACCGCAGTACCCTCTTTTTGCGCGGCTTCGGGGGCCCCGGGGGCCCCCTTCGAACGCATGCGGTTCTTGACCCCAGACAAACGCCCCCAGAGGCCTCCCGAGCTCGGGGACTCCCCTAGGGGGCCCCCCGAGGGGCCCCCCGAGGGGGCCCCCAGCAGCAGCGCGCTGACGGAGGCGGGGCTGGAGCCCGTGCTGCTGGGCCTGAGGCGGGGGGGGCCCCCAGCAGCAGCAGCAGAAGCTGCTGCTGCTGCTGAGGAGGAGGGCGTGGAGGGGGCCCCGGAGGCCTGGGCTGCTGCTGCTTCGGGCCTGGCGAGCCTCTGGGGCTTGGCGAACTGCAGCGGGGACTGGGGCAGCAGCAGCTGCTGCGGCTGCTGCTGCTGCCCCCCCTTTCTGCGCAGGAAAGCCACGAAGGACCTGGTGGGGCCCTGTCTGCTGCTGCTGCTGCTGCTGACCTGCGCGCTGTGGGGCGTGCTGTAGCCCTGGCTGTGGGGCCCCGTCAGCAGCAGCAGCAGCTGCGACTCCGAACCCCCCCGCCTGCTGTGTCTGCGGGGGCCCCTGAGGCCCCTCTCAGCTCCGTCGAAGGAAGTGGCAGTGTAGTACCTTCTGAAGGCGAGGCTGTCTCCGCCGCTGTCGACTTCTCGCGCTGCAGCAGCAGCAGCAGCAGCAGCAGCTTCGAACGCAACACGATCCCGGGATCGTTCCGTCGCCTCCCGCATTTGTGCTGCTTGCTGCTTCGCCCTCAAGTGCCGCTGCCGCATATAAGAAGAAAACTGGGCCAGTTCTGCTGCTTCGCTGCGCCCGAACAAGTCGTAGGCCATTACTGCGTCTTCCCGCGCTGCTGCTGCTCCTGCTGCTGCTGCTGCTGCTGCTGCTGCTGCTGCTGCGTCCCCGTGCCCAGGCGCGTCCCCGCTGTTCTGGGAGCCCTCAGAAGCACCCCGGACGGCCGCGCTGCTGCTCTCGGGGGGCCCCCCGGGGGCCCCCCGCTGCAGCTGCTGGGGGCTGGGCAGCGGGGCCCCCTGCTGCGCCTCTGCTGCTGCTGCTGCTGCTGCTGCGTCGTCG